TGCATATCTATGGTACTGCAGCAACTGTATTATTGGACAAAACTAGAATTATCTATGGCAAGTTATACAACACCATTTCCAGTTAACTTCATAATTTGTAAAATAAGTAACCCCCTTATCTATAACTATCTTGCATTGATCTTTTAAAATACAAATACTGTCAACATTTTTACAGTCAAATGATGGTTCGTAACTAGAAATCGATCGCAAATTATACCAACTCATATTTGTAAAGCGTACAATTTCAAAGTGATAATTCGCAAATCTTAAGATTGCAATGTTAATTTCCGTGCTATAGCAGTTCATAGCAAAATTTTACCCCTCCTACCTGATGTGAATGGGTAATTGCTACACTCTAACTTTAAACTAGAGTGTAATTGAATAAAGTAACAGTTTAATTAAATTAATTTTCAATATACGAATTGATAGTTTTGGAAAATTATCATCTAAAACGTAGGTTGTCAACTATTAATTATCTAAGCTTAAGATTGTAATGCCAAATCATGCCTGATGGCTAGTTAACTTTGCCTTATATCACCACTGAATGAACGTAACACTGTAATTCTATACTTAAATACCAAATCGCAGGTATAATTACCAACTTGAGATATACATACAGTCGATAAATCAAATGCAATATTAAATTTAAAAGTATATTCATTCTAAATATTAAGCTTATCCAATCTCGTAAATATTTATAAGCATTAATTCTACATTTCAAGTCAAATCAAAGCTTGTTTAGCTATCGCCCAAGCACACATAAGAAGTAAATTATCGTATGGTTACGACTGCGATGTCAGTGTGCGTCACTTAGTACGTTTTTTGAGAATTAATTGAACGCGTATTGAAAGAGTGGGATATTGGTTTGTGCCGCATAATCAATAGTTAAGGCTATAAACTTCTTTTAGCAAGTCCCGGCTAATAAGTTAGTTACATCTAGCAAGCTCTATCTGAATACATACATGAATGTAAGTATTCTACCTACAAACGATTAAACAACGGTGCTTGACGTCGTTTTTGAGATTATTCTCTTTAATTTCAATTCGCAGCATTTGATGTTTTTAGGAGGATTTAGCTGTATGATGATCATCAAATAGTTGTTCTAAATTTAATCAAACTGTAGTCATGAACAATTAAGACCTTCTATGATGATATTCGATGCTTTTTAACAACATCTATTCTATAATCATCGACTAGTCTTCGCAATTAAGTATAGTAATTTTATGACTTAAGCTCAAGTCATGATATTTGAAACCTTTAATTGTCATCATTAAACAATCGCTCTCTTCGGTTTAATGAAGCGAAGCTTACTGGAACCTAGAATTAAACTATGATGAGTATTCCCTATTTCTTTCTGTTATATTCTATTATTATCAGATAATTTTCTCTTCTATTTAATTAAGAGACTACAGTTGGATATCAATGATTAATGGATAACAACCCCGAAAATGACAATAAAGCATAGTTAACGGTGTCTTTTATTTGTTATCTACGGCTTGACAACGTTTTTAATTCGTAGACTATCGTATTGAATTGATGACGAATTGAAGGAACAGACGAAGCTAATGTATTTACCATGAAAACGTAAATTGAAAGGACGCAATCTCATCTACACGACCGTATTATAATAACATTTTGATATTTTCAAAAACATCCGGAAAGTAGCCAGCGGCAAAGAATTTTCTTTCTACTTGATATTAACTAAAACTATAGGATGATTGTGGAATTTTATTACGTCAGCGAAAGTCCTCTTCTGATGTGATAGGAGATGAACTATTGGAAGGGATCTTTCCTACTCTAGTAATCCATGTATTACAACATTATTAAAAATTAATTCTTTACAAAGGCTAAAGTCTATCGTTGGCCGGTAACAATTATTACATTACTGTTATAGCCTGATAATATAACAGCATTACGCATATACTGGTAATTTAACGAAACTGCTATTGAAACCAGGCTCTCCGAATATTTTATTGTATGTAATATACTGTACTGTCGCCCGCTCACCCGGCCTGACCAATATTAGCGGATGATATCATATCCAGTACTGTACTGACCAATCAGTAAAATCTCGACTTTCCCGAAAAGTTTAAATGACTACAATATACCCTCATAAAAGATTAAATAAAATATGACGATCTGCTAGCTTAGATATTGCACATAATGTTAAGATAATTTTGAAAAGAGTATAGTAATTTCATGGAATAGTAGTCTAAAAGGAAACCGAAGGCAAAATCTCTTCAATCGACTTATTACTCTAGTTATGAAGATCTATAGGAGCAATTACCTATTACTGCATTATGTACATATAGATATGCGTATAGCAGTAAAATACATACTATAACTCGATTTAACAACCGGTTGTCTTAAAAACTAATATTTTGGATATTTCGATGATAATAATATTAGGCATATCGTCTGTGGCTGTACTGTATGTAGATCTGATTTATGTATGGAATACAGATCACCGTGGTCAATCAATGAGTCAACACAATATGTGGTATGATTTTGAATTGTTTGCCGGCGGCATATTTTGGCAGATTGAGCAAAGGCCAAGATATTTTAAAAGAGGAAAAGATTTCCCATTTAGGTACAGTATTAATGGTGTTGTACAATTGTGGATAACGCATTTGAACGTTTCTGCATCATACCGTAAAGTTATTAGGTACTGTATTAAAGCTAAAGCAGTCATTGCAGCTACCAATGGAAAATTGACTTATGCTACATTCTATTCATATTTTCGGAGATTACTAACTTTTTTGAGCGATAACGGTTTGTTGGTGTCTTGAAAGGAATTGTGCCTAACTTGCAGTATGGTGATTGTCGATTTTTAAGTATAATGGCACAGCTTTTTATTACGGAATGAACGAAAGATTTGACTGTGAAGATACCAGATTAATCTACGATCGAAATTGAATCTTTTCGTAAAGGACAGCCAAATCATTTAACAACTACAGTATTTGACCGTATTCGATTCGCTGTATCATTGACAGCTTGTTACCGCGAGATACTGTAATAAGATTTCACGGTCAATGCTACTGTGCAATGGATATTAGGATTGTGAATAAAATCAGAAGTTTCTCTTGAAATGATATTGTACTAATAACATTAGACAAACAGTTAGATGTATTCTATCAATATACAGTACTGCAATAGTAGGGCAGTTAAAATTATTACCACGGCGCTATAGTAAAGAAGTTATCCCACATTCTATAATATTCTGGCTCTAAAAATGAGGTCTCATCAACAACTTATTCATTAATCATAAAATGTTACCAAACGCCTAAATAAATCAACCTGGAGATGTTAACTATAAGGCATTACAATAGCAGAAAATTGCATAGCAAAAGTGATTTTGCAGTCATTAGACGTACACTAATAACTGCCATATTTCTTTTCATCTACAGTATGACTGTAGAGAAGCGTCAACAGAGTCCAAATTATTTTATCACCAATATTGCGGCTTAAAGTATGACGCAGTAAGTATCCTTAGGCTATCCACCGTAGGAATTCAAGTAATATTAGAAAGGATTTTCAACGTCAAATGTAGGGGAAATACACTATGCCACCAATTGGGCGTATGTGAATAAAACATTAGACAGAAATTTGGGGAATTAAATGTTGGAAAAATTGTGCTGCAAGCTAAACATACGTTCAATTAATTATCTACAATGCCTTCAAATGTACAGTACATTTATTAATAATTACAAAATACATAGCACTCTTCAAATTTCAGCCAATGTTATCATAAATAATTAATACTGCTACAAATACCAACTAAATGGATAATCATGTAAAGTCCTTGATTAATAAATTTGATGTTATATGTGAATTAGAATAATTCTAATTAACCACAAATGCATTGAAAAGTTTGGCTTACTATAATGATTTGCTTTTCATGTTGCAATAGCGACATGTATTGCCTTAATTAACGGCAATACTGTTAAACAAGTAGTGCATTTTGGAATGTATCTTAGGCCTTTTTCCATATCCTTTTTATTCGATAGTGTATCCATGTCTAATTAAAAAGTTGGCAGGAGACACAACAATACGGCTTGGTTTTCATTGAATCACTCAAGTCTACTAAGTCAACGTGGATAGTCGAGAAGCGCTCGTTGCACAAGTTATTTATCATAGCTTGATTCAATAATTTTTTTTTTTTTTTTGGTACTGGGTATAAAAAAGGAGTCGTAGCTGCATTTGAAATTCAATTAGATAGAATAACACTATGAATAAGTCTTGTACTGTCTTATACCATGGTATAACCCCCTACCATAATAAAACTATTTACAACTCTTTTTCAATTGATAGCCTGTGATACATAGAGGCTCTTTTCATAAATGAAAGCATCGATGTGTCAGTCGGATACTATAGTTTGCAGGTAAATGCTTTTATGGTGTTACTATATTGGGTTCTAAGGTGACAGTTTTTGAAAAAACTGTCTTGAAATTAATGGCTATCGTTAAACAATAACACGTTACCATTTTCCTTGTATTTAATTTGGGGTTGGTCAATATTCTATCTCTCTCCCTAATTCATGGCAGTGATTTACAAAGTAAAGATTAAACACCAACAGGACACTCGTGATAAAATCGTCACTCATACTGTTGTTGCTTGTTGAAATAGCGTCAAATGAACTAAAATGGCTATTTTCATTCGTCTCCTAGCCAATTGATCGCTATTACTTGCTCTTACTTTTTAAACCAACAAGATGAGTAGTGCTACTGTCTAATTTTTGATTTTAATTTGATCGATCAGTCTCGAGGTTGGAAAAAAATGAGACAATGCTGGCGATATGCAACACAAGGTCGGGTTGACGCGGATCGGAGACGACGATGTGGCAGTTTTTTTTTTTACACTTCAATGGCGCCAGGGAAAACTGAGAATGCAAATTTTACACCTTCCCTTTGCTGCTACTTTCCAACTGCAAAATATGAAAGCATCAAGACTACTTTTAATGTGGATTTTGTTCTCGAATTGATGTTGTGAAGTACAGCATCGCTAGTCTATTGCATTGTAGTTTATACGCGTCATGTGCTGCTGCCACTTTCAATCATTTGCATGCAAGATCGGAAATTATAAAAGAAGTCTTTGAGACGACAAACTTATTGCAACCGTGCATGCCATCCTAGCATCGACGATGTGTTTTGGGGGGTTTTAAATAGGCTAGAGTAAGGAGAGCGTTTACAAGTGAGTCATGACAATAATCCACTAGCAATTAATCCGATCTTGTATCTGGTGTGAAGTAGGCAAAACCCCAGTGGATAGCATTGAATTGATACAGTATGGGGGTAGTCAAGCGCAGTTTGTAACCCATTCTAGCAAAAGTAAAAAGAAAGAAATTGTTGTCAAGTTTATCTATTGCGGCAAGAAAGAATGAGACTTGCGCAGGGATTCTTTGAAGATAAAGTCAATGTTAGACTTGTAATGAGTCAAAGTGTTCTCCTGGAGTTGAAAAAGAAGAATTCAATTGAATTTTAGTTGAAATGCCATGGCAAGGCATGGCCGTATGGATTTGGGAGAGAAGATGAAGGCAGTAGTGGACTGTATAGGACAACTCTCCATTAGTAGTGGAATAGACTACACTTGTCACCATACGTGCGAAGACAGCAAAATCACAACATCACCACTGATTGTATATTCCGTACGTATGTTACTACTACTGTACTTCAATGAGTGGTTGCAGATCATGTTGAATAAGGTTTTAGTATGGCAATCGTCTATCCGCCATTGTCAAATTTGAAGATGACTTAAGGTGAGAGGAATGATCCTCTCCTACACCTATTTGACTACTTCTTCCAAGACTTACCGTACATTTTACCCTCGTCAGAAAGGATAATTTTGCGGCGGCCACACGGTGGATAAATGGCTAGCGCTTCTTGAAAAGATTGCTCGATATCACTAGACCAAACGCGTTCAGCATCGTCTCCTCTTGGAACATCTTCGTCTGAACTATCAAGTGACGAGGAGTTGTCATCCTCGTTCTTCATGCTAAATGAACAGAAACAGCGCGAGCTGTTCTACCAATGGAACGACGTCAAGATTGAAAACGATACTATCGTCAACTTGTTGCAATAGGATAATCAATTTTTCCAATCGTGACTAACTTGTACGCCACAACAACTCAGCTAAAGCAAACCCTTTGACGACCGCCGGAAGCAGAATTTTTTAGAAAAAATGACAAAAATGTGAGCCACTGACTACAAATGGACTACAGTAGGCCAAGCATATTACACACAAGACAACGCCTGGTGAATCCCAGACGCGACAACGTGATAGAAGCTTTTTATAGCAAGAAAGCTGCTGCGGTTCCAGTACTGTATGGACTGGGTATTGGACACCATACTGGAGTTGGTTGCACTAGAGTGCATTTTCGCTTGCTTCACCACTGCACTACTCTACAGTGTACAGTGTATAGTACTGTACAGTTTTTCCATTATACTGTATGGACTGGGTACTGGACACCATACTGGAGTTGGCTGCACTAGAGTGCATTTTCGCGTGCTTCACCACTGCACTACTCTACAGTGTACAGTGTATAGTACAGTACTGTACTGTAGCTGATGACGTACTGTACACTGTACAGTACTGTACAGTTTTTGTCTAAGAAAGCTGATGCGGTTCCAGTACTGTATGGACTGGGCACGATACGGTTTAGTTCAGTCCAGTTGAGAGTTGAGGTGAACCGCTCGCTGATTTGTACTATACTGTACACTAGTACACTTGTACAGTACAGTACTGTACGACAGCAGACCACTGCACTACTCTACAGTGTACAGTGTATAGTACTGCACTCTAGCTGATGACGTACTGTACAGTACAGTGTACTGTACTGTATGGACTGGGTACTGGACACCATACTGGAGAGTTGGCTGCACTTGAGTGAATTTTCGCGTGCTCACAGTACACACACTCGACGTCGTCGAGTCAGCTGTCTCCACGATACAGTTTAGTTCAGTCCAGTTGAGAGTTGAGGTGAACCGCTCGCTGATTTGTACAGTACTGTACTGTACGACAGCAGACCACTATACTGTACTGTACAGTACTGTACTACTCTACAGTGTACAGTGTATAGTACTGTACAGTACTGTAGCTGATGACGTACTGTACTGTACTGTACTGTACTGTACAGTACAGTACAGTTTTTCCATGACGTGACTCCTCGTGAGCTAGTAATGCGTGATCATATGCGCGATGATGCCCACGTCTACAGTACAGTACGTCCTCGCCCTGACGCTGACACTGCAGACTTGAGACACAAGTATGTGGATACTACCTGCTTTTCTAAGTAGTGTATATACATTGTGATGTATGCTTTGTGCTCCTGTATATTTTAAATACACTGAACAGTAATGTACTGTCCTTGGGGCATGATTCCTTCAAGAAAAGAAGACCAATAATATCACTAATAACAGTACAGATCAATCTACAGTACAGTATGACGTGGCGTTGCGCTACAGATAACGCTAACGCATTTAACAGTACTGTACTGTACACTTGCACTACGTTCTGTAAAATACTGTACACTGTACACCGTAGACAACACTCAGTGTACCGTACTGCACGGTACAGGTACAGTACAGTATACAGTAGTAAGAATGTGGTAGATGCGTTTTTAATGGTGAACCAAATTATAGGTTAAAATCATAATAAAAAGTATAGTTGAATTGGATAGCCTTTAAATTATATGTCTAAGTTAGATTTCCGTAAGCATATGATTCAGAAAAAATACAGTGAAATCAAATAATACCATAATCAGCTAAGAATATCGAAATAAATATCGTGTATCAAAATGAAGAAGAATCTGATCAAATGTAATTTATGCATATATCACTCCAATATTACCATCATGCGAATACGAGTAGATCTTGTAAGTTAATCGATTTTAACCTAAAATATACCGTACTGTATAAAAAATTATTTCAGGTAGATGTTGACGTACAGTACCTCAATGTATAACATTGAAAGTTAAAATGTTTAGTTAATGGGATGATAATATCACAAATTTAATATTCTTCATAAGAAATAAATCTAGAATTAGTTAGGATTAATAGGAAGACAAGTACTCTTTAAAGTTTTCCTCAGTTATACTATTTTAAATTTATGTGATACGGAGTATACTTGACATCGGTAAATTTCAAATTCAGGATAAATAATATCATAAATTATCAAAATTAGAAAATTACAATTTATTTCTAATTAAACTCTACGATCCGATCGTAAGATTGTTTACTGTGCACATGTCGAAAATAATATCGCAATATTAAAAGAATTCCAAATAGAATGATGATACCTCCAACTGCGGCGATTATTGCGATATTTACGGGCGCTAACAAATTTAGATTATGATATTTAAATTGATTAGTAAAGTGAAGTATAATAAATTTCTAGATATCAGTATCAACAACGTACATAAAGTATGCGATGTCTTTATTGTACAAATTTCTTTACGATTCAGAGGTGGGAAAGTCACATTTGATGTAAGCCTGCAATTTTGAAAAAAATAACTAAGATGAAACAAGTGCCTTCACGAGGTTTCACGGGTATTATTATGATATTACACGTAGTACACATACTTTTCAAAATCATTTAAAGGGCACAATCGCTTGCAGCCGGGCAGTTGTAAAGTAACTGTTACGGAAGAATTTCGATATAAAACTTGAACTAAATATGTCCTATAAAATAGTTTTTCAACCATATAACTTAAAAGATAAACAATATATACCTTTTCATTACCAATTTTATTAAGGGTGAATACGTATATGATAGTTAAAAGAAGAATATTCATCCTATGTAAGAGATACTCTACACAATATAAATTGTGTTGTATAATTCCAACGGTATCGCTTAATGTAATATGCTATTATCTAAAATTATGTACCCATTTTTATCTTTATACAGCTCAAGCATTACAGTTGCAGTATATGGAGGATTTTTCGTCAGATGGAAGCCTAAGGCTAATAATATGGCCATAACGTTGGAATCATGCTATCAGTAAAATAATATTAATATTAGGTTAAGATAGATGAGATATATTTCAAATATTACAAGACCGTCGTGCACAATAAAATATTTCAATATCCATAATTAACAAGAGCTTTTTAAAATTATACGTATGCGATATAAAAAAGTACACTATCTCACTGAAAAATAAAAACTTTACCGCTGAATACATCATGAGCTTAGTAGGATTCATTTTCGTTCCAGACTTTACTGATTTCATATCATGAATCATACGATACAATAATTCTCCTACATTAGAGATAGTTAATGGAATCAAGACAATGAATTGATGTACTAAGCAGTATATCGCAAAGTAGTAAAGTTAAATTATTTATTCATTGATTTATACACAGAAATGCTAAGCATGTGGGTATGGCACACCGACGCATTGACGCTCTCTTCTTGAGTCATATATTAGCTGTACATTATCTACAGAGGTATTGTAGACAATTTATCGGTACGTTGCTACCTGCAGTAACTTTTTGTTGGATTGGGCTACTATATTTCAGGAGCTTTACAAACAATGCAATTTTCCTTAGACGTACTAAAACGGTAGAATTGGCCCAGTGTGGCAACGTTAAATTGTGTTTTTGCTATAATTTATATCAATGAGTAAATCAAATCAATTACCGTCAATATACAATAAACATATATTTATATAACATGACAAACCATAACGCTGATGAATCTGAAATTGTTTTATCATGACAGGCATTACCATGCAAAACAAAGCACCATTAATCTCATGTGCAGCGTAGTAAATGTTCTTATGGGAGCCGTTATAGCCGGCAAGTTCGTAAATTTTTTTTACAAAGCCCTTTATTTGGAGATGAAGTATTACCAAAAAGGCATGGTTAAAAATCAGAAAAGAGTAATAACCAAAATTCCCTACAAACCCCATCTTTCTTAATGAAATCTTTAAATTTGTTTGATTTTAGGTTGTTTTGCACGCTTTGATCATATCTTGGGCATGCAAGAGATTGACTTTTCAATAACTATATGTAACATTCCAAGAATAAAAATCATTAACACTTTAAAAGCATAGTACAATTGTAAGGACAACAAAGGTTCATTGCTACAGAAAAAAGGTATATACGCATATTATTTGTAGCCGTATGTATACTCAATCCATGTAATTCTAAAAGTACTTAGAAATTTTAAGCCAATGATATTCTTTTTACTACAGTAAGTTGATTTTTCCTTTATAGTTATTTTATGCTATCTACTTTAATGATAAGTTATTGATAATAAGAGTCGATATCTGTATATAAAGTCATCCTGGCCTTTAATGACTTTATTGCATTGCCGCTTACTAATATTCTACTGCTGTATAATGGTACGCAATTAATTTAGTAAACAAGATTTATTACCGTATCATTAGCCCTGGGTACTGTGTGAATTGGTATTGGCTGCCATAATAAATTTTTGTTCCATATCTATACGATGACATCATAAAATACATTATCATCGCCTTAAATTATGATGTGGGTACGCAAGCTAATTAAGTTATTGCTTCAATGAGCAGTTACTTATTTATAGAGCTGTGTTCATTAAAAATTAATACACGTATATTTGACATGGTGGTAGTTGATAAACGGTTGTTAAATAGTAAGTAATATTATATTTTGAATGAATAAAAGACGTTGCTTAAAAATGAATCTACTGTATTTACAATATCATATGTTAGCAATGTAAATAGTATCAAATGTGCACACAAATACGTACAAATCCATCAGTGAATTATTAAATTTTCGGAATAAGGAATCATTACACATCATATCTTTAATTTGGTATACTTTAGATACTGTATATATTGCAGCAACAGTTTAAGTGCTATATGCTTTAAAGATTGGAACACTGTATAGGAGTAAAATAGCTGTAGGCATATCCTACCTGTCTTCCAGCAGGCCGATATAGGGCGCTCAATTGTGCTTCTGCACTCATTAACGTACGATCATAGTCAGTGCTTCGAATTTTAACCTTGATATCACAAAATCAATAACAACAGTTATTTCATATCTACATACTATGTGTGTAATACAGTACTGTATATTCATTTATTTATTTATCATTGTAAAGTGGTTCAATGCCTTCCTAGTTCTAATGAAGTTATTTAGTATAGTACGATAATATTACCGTATTATCTTCCGTATCCTCCTCATATACTGATAGAGTGATAGATAATTCTACTTTGCTATAACATTACGACGATCTTGGATTAAAAGAGGAACAATATTTTGTCATACCTCTCGTCTGACATAAGTTGCGTTGATCAAGTGCAATTGGTGTACGTAACGATTCTTAAAGAATTCGCCTAATTTTGCTTCCTGACGCATCCCTTCCTACGCATTTTAGGATTCATTTTTTTTGTTAGCATTTTATAAATGTAATTATAAATTAATAGCCTCTACGAGTACATTATCACGTTGAATTGTAACAAGAGGAAAAGGTAATGGATAAATGTATACCGTAGTTAACATAATACAAGGCGTTGTATCACATGCGTGCTTAATATTTATAGCATTTACTTATTCGTACAATGTTGCCGATCCAGAACCTACCTGAGTTAGCTGACCTAATCCTTGTGGCCAAGGCTTCAAGGGATGTGGAAGATTAAGCAAGACATGGGTTGGTGATCGATCGCCATGACGGTAAAGCTAACGTAAAAGTGACGAAATTTAGGGATAGTGGTTTTACTTATTGCAATTATAATTCACTTTCACAGCTAGAACAATGCAAAAGGAAGATTGATTTTATTTTATGGATTCCAAGATGATAATACTATCATTTCTTCGTAAAAGTCAAAGATCTTTTTTTTATGTAATGTATCAATCGATGGAACGTAGATGTAAAACTTACTAAATTAAAGGAACTCAAAAAAGAGGTCAATGTAGAACTATTGTTATGTAGGGGAAAAGGCATGAAATATTATTTAGTGTGGAAGTAAACAGTATTACTATAATTCTACTAGTTTACGACATATCATGAGAATAGTAAATTACTGCATGACCAGATAATTCAGAATCCTACGAAAGATGTAGTGATTGATTACTATTGATTTAGCAAGTAATCCTATTCGTTGCTTAATCTATAATATATTTATATGTTGTAAGTATTTTCTTGACTGCAATAGACTTACAACACTGGCGTAAACCAACTGTAAGCTTGAATTAACTAGTGCAGCGGTATAATTTACTTTTACAAGTGAAAGGAGAAGACTGCATCGTATGGCGGCTATAAGCAGTGGCTGAAATTTTAGCGACATTGCATCAACGGTATCGCCAATTTTTCTATCTGAACTTTCAATTGGATGTAGATACTCCACTATCCGAGATCACTCAATGAAAAATTTCCTCCTCAAGTGGCTCATTTTTTATAGCAAAATAACCTTCAAGTCTGCCCACAATTGTGTTTACTCATGTGACTTTTCAGAGAAATACAAGTCATCTGACCATGCATCGACTGTAACCCGATTGATTGAAGCAAACGGACAGATGGACGCGACGATAAAATTCATCCAAATTTGCAGTTAGGCCTGACAAGAAAGTAAGCAAAGTGAGCGTTATTCTACAGTATGACAGTCATCAGTTGATAAGCATCGAGGTTAAGAGACCACCTCTATGGTCATGAACAGTTGGATAGTTTTTCTTTGAGTGGTCAGTGTATTTATTTTGTTGCTACTATATTGACGGTAGTTTAGTTTGGCTTAATTAACCTAATTCATTCATATTTCAATGGAAAGTTGATGTTTGTAAAGCTAAATCACTGCAATGGACAATCCTCCAGATACAACCCATACTGAACACTGTAGACTGTAGACTGTAGAGTGGAGGTAAATGAGAATACAGTACAGTAAATGTGAAAGAAGAACAGCTTGTATGGGTCGTTGAACCGTTAAAAACGCATCTACCACATTCTTACTATACTGTACTGTACCTGTACCGTGCAGTACGGTACACTGAGTGTG